GAAACAATGGTTTTTTTCATAATGTTAAGCACGTAACTTCAATCCAAATAGTGATTTTAATAGCCAATGGAGTTTTCTATCCAATACACTTTATAGTAAGATTTTACAGATGAACAATGATGGCAAGGTTTCTAAAAAACCGAATACGATATTTTTCAGGTTCTAGAAGACTTTGCCAGAGCTATTTTTAAATGGTGACATCTTAAAAAGCACAAAATTCTGAACAAAATGAGGGATTGCCGAGTTTTCTACGAATTTCTCGTAAAAAGTTACAAGCATCACTAAAATCATGAAAAAGACGTTTTTAGTCGATTTTTAAAAAAATTTCGTTTTTTCATGATTTTTGTTATGCTTGTAACTTTTTATGAGAAGGTCATAGAAAACTCGGCGAACCCTCATTTTGCTCAGAATTTTGTACTCTTTAAGATGGCACCATTCAAAAATAGCTCTGGCAAAGTCTTCTAGAACCTGAAAAATACCATGTTCAGTTTTTTAGAAACCTTGCCATCATTGTTCATCTGTGAAATCTTGCTATAAAGTGTATTGAATAGAAAACTCCATTGGCTATTAAAATCACTATTTGGATTAGAGCTACGTGCTTAACATTATGAAAAAAAACCAAAAGAATCGTTATTTATAAACTTTTTCCCACCACTTTACTTTTCGTTAATTCTATACGAATAGAATTTTTGTATTGACAGGCGGTGTTCGTAGTTGTTGTACTTATGTGGGTGCTGGTAAATTAAAAGAACTAAGTCGACGAACAACATTTATTCGTGTTAGGTATTTAATTTATCATTTTTATTTATATTCTTTAATTTAATATTTCTATTATTTATTTAGTCAACAATTGAATGAAATATTTTCTCCAAATACCATACAAAGCTAATCTCAATCGATCCATCATTTTTCATGACCCGGTGTTGTTTCTTTTTTTGCACTATAGTAATAGCAGATAAAACAATTTGAATAAAACATGCATTTCTTTTTTTTTGCTCCTTTCTCTATCTCTTTAAATGTTTGTTCACGTCTATTGTGTAAAAAAAAAAGGAGATTAGTCATTGAACAATGTAAATAATCATAGATATACAAAGGACGAAAGTAAATAACGGGTGGGGCAAAAGTTTTGCATTAATTTTGTTTTTGATATAACTCTGCAACGCAATGTCGTACAGACTTGATTTTTTTTCGTTAGAAAGAGCAAAGTATCTAGTGCAAAAATATATAAAAGAATTTGATTTGTAATGCTTTTCAAAGGCCACAATAGTTTTAGAACACAATGCTCCGAAAAACTCTTCCGCAACTTTCGTCACATTTTTTTAATCCAAAAATATTTCTTTGAGCCTTTTTCATTAGCCACTTTCGACACTTTCGAGCACCATATATATACAGTTGTTAATTACAACGGAGGTTTTCATTTGGTATTAAAATAATTGGTATAACATACAAGAGAATGAACAAAAGACACGTTGATAAAAACAAATTAATTGTTCGAATTTGGTTTTGCAGCGTGAAAATAAGTTTTTTTCTGAATATCTCATAGAGAAGTTGCGTTCTATTCCAAATAATATCATTTGGTAGAGGACTCAATAAACTTTCTTTTATAAAATATATAGCTCCTAGCAATCTCTCCTGCGAAATAGAGTTTATTTTTTCGATTGTTACCAACAATGATGAAAAATCGATGACACAGACGATATCATAAAAGCGTTCATTTCAACCGTTATAAAACATGTAGAAAATTTCTTTTTTTCTAAAGCAATAGTGCTCTATCCTTATATTATAAAATCCGGATTAGACGAATAAAAAGATAACCTGTCTAATTATAGGAATTTTTTTCTAAGTTCAAAAAAGTTGCGGAAGAGTTTTTCAACGCCTTCTGTTCTAAGCTTGTTGTAGTTTTCGAAAAACATTTTCAATCAAACTCTTTTATATATTCTTGCACTAGACACTTTGCTCTTTCTAACAAAAAAAAATCAAGTCTTCATGACATTGTTTTGCAGAGTTATATCAAAAACAAAATTAATGCAAAACTTTTGCCCCACCCGTTAGAATACAATCGAACATAAGTAAAAAATGTTGTTTCGATATTGGTTCATGTTACTATATATAACCTTTATATTGATTTTACCATTGTATGCTGATCGAAAAACTTCATTTCGAAGTTCATTTTCATGTTTTAAATGTACACATCATGATAAACCACAAGAAATGAAAGAAGCAACATGTATGAAAAAATTTGATTTAAGTAAATATACACAAGAAGAATGTCAAAGTGAAAATGGTCCAGGTAAATGTCTTAAATCATATGAAAAAACTGAAGCACGTACAAAAAAACAAATTGAAGATGATGAACGTTCAGTAACAACACGTAAATGTGTATCACAAGATGAACTTGATTATTTAAAAAATGTACGAAATATTGATACAAGTGATG